AGCCATGAATTAAGAGCCTGTTTATCATTCGATTTTGTTGGGTTAGTTAAGCTGTAGATTGATATAATTCTATATTTAATCTTCCCTTTGAATGTAAGGTCAATGAAGATACCCCTGTTCTTCCAGGAATTTGAGTGATATATATGTGTGGCCCAGTGTTGTTTTACTAGTATTCCTACTCCTGAGCCATACTGTTGATTGGGGTCTCGAGTTGTCCAAATCTTGTATTTGTTGTCTAAATCTGTCCATCTGTGATTATGTATAAGCCAGGTTTCTGTAATACTGATGAAGTCGTAATTTTCTTCCTGTGCATAATTCAGGAAAGATATTTGGTTTCTTTCTTTGTTAATACCTCTTACGCTTAAAGTGCTGATTTTCCATGTGTTGTAATTTATGTTGCGAGCGGTTGGTATATTTGTTTGATTGGGTGAAGTTGTTGAAGATGGTGCTAATTTTTCCTTTGTATTGGTCCTCCTTCTGGGTGAGGATGATTCTTCTTTTTGTGCTGTCATTATTATTGAGAGGTAATGGGTGAGGACGTTCCTGTTTATTGAGTGAGTTTAAAAAGGTTTATAACTTTCTCCATAGTTGCGCACATTTTGTTGAGTTGTTGTTGATATGCTTCTTGTGATATGCGAATATCTTATAGCTGAGATGTTGAGGGGAGTGTTTGTTCATCACTTTCTATTGTTGATTGCTCTTCCATATCTTTCATTAATTTGTCAACTATTTCTGGGTACCTGTTGGCACATTCTTCCTCGAGGGCTTCTACTCTGTTATCTAGTGCTTTGAAAGCCTTCTTCAGTTCGTGGATCTCTTCTTATAACTTATTGATTATGTTCCAGATATCGTTGCTTTTAATTTCTCTTCTTGTTTGTTGTCTATTCTTGAGAATGTTTGTGTAACTCTTAGGATTGTTGTCCTATCTATATACTCTTTCATTCTTGGATGAGCTTGTTATCCTATAGTTGTAGAATGGGGAAAGTCTCAGGTTGTTGGCCCTGTTCATGTACTGTCTTGGGGGGAAACTCTGGTTTGTCAGGGCAGAGATGAGGATTGTGTGACAGTGAGCTGCAATAGTAGCAGAGTTTCATTTCTCTGTCTACCCATTTTGTCTGATAATCATTAAAAGTGGGGGCTGTAGATATTGCTGCTTGTAAGTCTGCTTGTGTTTCAAAAGTGAACACTGCGAATCTTTTGACCTTGTTTTCGTCATCTCTTGGTATATAGCATGACTTTGCTTTGGTACTGGTGATGATTATTGCCAGGTCTGCTGCTGTGGAGTCTGGTGGTAGCATTGTGAGTGTTACGCTGAAACGCTCTCTTTCTTGTTTGGTCTCATGCGTTCTGTAGTATGAAAAAGTTCTGCATGAGTAATACCCTTTGCTAATCGACCATTCCTTGATGATTTCTGTGTAATCCGATGTGTTGGAAAAGGTTATGCATGCTATTTGGCCTGGGTCCGATCTTTGCTGTGTGATATAATCGATCCCAATTTGACTGTCGAAGAATTCTGCTAGATCAGTTTTGGTGAAATGTTGGAGAACATCCCAAACTCTAATCGTATGTGAGTTGCTTTCTTGAGATCCCAATAGGGCAATCTTTCTAAGTTTGACATTCTCATTCTCAGTGAGGTTTATCTCACATGCTGTCTGTGCCTCATCTTGATTGTCAAACACCGCCACTACCTGTGGGTAACCAGTTGGGAATTCATATCGTACGTGTTTCAGGGAGTTGAGTTGTGTCATTTTTTGTCTGATAAAAAGAAATTTTTCTTCAGGTGTTTCTCCTGGGACGAGTTCCGAATTGATGAAGGCCTTTCCTGGCCTAAGCGTTTTGATATAAGTTTGTCTGTTTGTAGGAGAGGGAGAGAGAGTTTTGCTTCTTTGATCTGTTGGATTTTCGTAATTAAAGTTTGCGTACTCGGTGATATTGCTATAAAGTTGCGGTCTATTGAGAGGAGCCTGTTCTGTGCTTTCGATGAACGTTTCTTTTGCTGGAGAAGATGGTCTGGAGTCTATCGGAGTCACAGTTGCTTTAGTCATTTGGGAGTCATCTTCGTCTCTTTCCTTTGTAGGTACAGGATCGGTAGCTTTGTT